GCCTCGTGTGCTCCGTGTGGCACCTGGAGGGGTTCTCTGTTGCGGGTGGGAGAAAGCATTCCAGGGGAGATCGGGAGGGCCTCGTGTGCTCCGTGTGGCACCTGGAGGGGTTTCTCTTGCGGGTGGGAGAAAGCATTCCAGAGGAGATCGGGTGGGCCTCGTGTGCTCCGTGTGGCACCTGGAGGGGTTCTCTGTTGCGGGTGGGAGAAAGCATTCCAGGGGAGATCGGGAGGGCCTCGTGTGCTCCGTGTGGCACCTGGAGGGGTTTCTGTTGCGGGTGGGAGAAAGCATTCCAGGGGAGATCGGGAGGGCCTCGTGTGCTCCGTGTGGCACCTGGAGGGGTTCTCTGTTGCGGGTGGGAGAAAGCATTCCAGGGGAGATCGGGAGGGCTTCGTGTGGTCTGTGTGGCACCTGGAGGGGTTCTCTGTTGCGGGTGGGAGAAAGCATTCCAGGGGAGATCGGGAGGGCCTCGTGTGCTCCGTGTGGCACCTGGAGGGGTTTCTGTTGCGGGTGGGAGAAGCATTCCAGGGGAGATCGGGAGGGCCTCGTGTGCTCCGTGTGGCACCTGGAGGGGTTCTCTGTTGCGGGTGGGAGAAAGCATTCCAGGGGGAGATCGGGAGGGCCTCGTGTGGTCTGTGTGGCACCTGGAGGGGTTCTCTGTTGCGGGTGGGAGAAAGCATTCCAGGGAGATCGGGAGGGCCTCGTGTGCTCCGTGTGGCACCTGGAGGGGTTCTCTGTTGCGGGTGGGAGAAAGCATTCCAGGGGAGATCGGGAGGGCCTCGTGTGCTCCGTGTGGCACCTGGAGCGTTTCTGTTGCGGGTGGGAGAAAGCATTCCAGGGGAGATCGGGAGGGCCTCGTGTGCTCCGTGTGGCACCTGGAGGGGTTCTCTGTTGCGGGTGGGAGAAAGCATTCCAGGGGAGATCGGGAGGGCCTCGTGTGCTCCGTGTGGCACCTGGCGGGTTTCTGTTGCGGGTGGGAGAAAGCATTCCAGGGGAGATCGGGAGGGCCTCGTGTGCTCCGTGTGGCACCTGGAGGGGTTCTCTGTTGCGGGTGGGAGAAAGCATTCCAGGGGAGATCGGGAGGGCCTCGTGTGCTCCGTGTGGCACCTGGAGGGGTTCTCTGTTGCGGGTGGGAGAAAGCATTCCAGGGGGAGATCGGGAGGGCCTCGTGTGGTCTGTGTGGCACCTGGAGGGGTTCTCTGTTGCGGGTGGGAGAAAGCATTCCAGGGGAGATCGGGAGGGCCTCGTGTGCTCCGTGTGGCACCTGGAGGGGTTCTCTGTTGCGGGTGGGAGAAAGCATTCCGGGGGAGATCGGGAGGGCCTCGTGTGCTCCGTGTGGCACCTGGAGGCGTGGGGAAGGCTCGCCAGCGTGTACTTAGCCCTCGCAGCCTGTGAGACACGGGCATGGCAGGCCTGTTCACAGAGGGGGAAAGTGAGACCAGGAGGTGGAGTCCCTTCCAAGGTCACACAGCTAGTCACCTCCCTGGGTGGAACAGGGGTTCCCGTTAAGCCCTGCCTGACCTGGAGACTTTCCCATTGCTCCACAGAGCCCTGTCTTGAGCGCTCTGTCCCGCGTCAGGAGGCTACAGGTGGCAGTTGCTTGAATATGGTGAAGAGCAAAGGGCAGTGATGCCACCCACAGTAGGTACTAGAATAGTTTGCAGATTTACTTAGTGAAAAAAGTTGTGTTTTTTTTTTTATCCTCACCCGAGGACACTTTTTTGCATTTATCTTCAGATAGAACGGCTGGGAGAGAGGAAGGAAGAGAGGGAGAGAAACATCGACATGAGGGAGACACATTTAGTGGTTGCCACCCACACAACACCAACTGGGGCCGGGGACAAACTGCAACTGAGATTACCTGCCCTTAGCGTATCTCTAGTCTGCGAGCCGACGCTCTAACCGCTGAGCCAAACCGGCCAGGGCAGAAAGTTATTTTAAAAATAATTCTTGAGATTGTATTTTATAATAAGATTTCCTGCCAAGTAGTGTTACACATTTTAAAGAATGTTTTTAATGTCTTCTATGTCATCCTATAGGTCTTTGTAGTGCCACATGTACCGGTTATGTTGGTGAAGTCATTCTATTTGTGGATTGAATAGAGGCTAACGAGATAAGATTGTGCACTGATCTTGTAAACTGTATTTCAAGGAAATAAAAGTAATTCAGTTTGCAGAGTTAGTTACAGAAGAATAGGATTAGCTAATAGACATTGCGTTGAATGTAAGCGCTGTGAGGACAGGGACCTCGTCTGTCCTGCCTGCCACCCTCTCCCTGGGGCCTTGTGCACACTGCATTGGACTAGCCGGTGCCCAACTGAATTAGTGAACAAACACGCTTCAGTAAGACCCCATTCTTTGGATTCCCTCCCTTCTTTGTGTATTCTTTGCCTCTTCCTCGTCTTCTGAGATCCCTTTACTGTAGTAGTTTCCCGAAGCTCTTCACTGGGTCCTCCTCTGACCCACTCCACCAGTGCTTCCGGGGTACTGTCAGCCCCTTCCTGGAGGTAACCTTCGCAGCTTCAATGAGCACAAGTTCATCTGCAGAAAGTGCTGAAAACATTGTAAAGATGTTGTTCTGGGGATCAGTAGACCAAGTGTTTGAGTCAGCTTTTGCTGCTCCTCATGAAGGTGTGACCTTGAGCAGGTGATTTAACCTCTTGGTACTTCATTTACCTCTATTGTGAGGGGGTTGGCTTAGTTCAGAGTTGAACATTCAAATACAGACATACCTCGGAGATATCATGGGTTCGGTTCCAGACTACCACATAAAGTGAGTTGTATCTTTTTGCTGGTGGAGGGTCTTGCCTTAAATTTGTTTTTAAAAAAAAAAAAAGGCAGTATTTGAGAATTACAGTGAAAGGAGGTATTCCTGTAGTCAGCTTTCACACAAGTCGATTTGTTTTCCCTTCCTCACAATGTTCTTTACTGAAAGTCACTGTTATGAATGATCACCCAGGACAGTACTGGATTCCAGCCGATCAGCAAAGAGCTTACACTGTGTTCATCACACTGCGCAGTCTCCGCATGTCCCAGCAGTTGTTGCTGTTTTCACTCACTGAGAACTTCGTCTCCCACCATGTTTGAGGACATGTTCAGTGGTGTCTGTTCCATTCTCTGAACTGACAGCAGTCTCCTCTGGGGTGAAGATTCTAGGCGTACATGTTCAAGGCCAGTCTTTTTTAAGATGTCCCCTCTAGGAGAGCATTCTAACTAAAATTGAAGAATCCTTACCCTAACCAAGGCCAGAAAGCATTGACATACCTTTTAAAATGGTTTTCTGTAATACAAGGCAAAAAAAGATCTTATGCCTTTAACTTCTAAGTGAACAAATACTTAATTTTTTGGGCATTCCGTGTGCTTTTAGTGTAAATTGTATTTGCATCTATGAATTAGGATATATTTGAAGTGAAGAAGTACCAGATTTCTTTTCTTTTTCTTTTTTTTGACTGAAGAACAAGAATTGAATGTTGCGGGAAAGTGGATAATTGCAGCATGGGCTCTGGCAGGGGTCTTGGGCCCGCAGGTGAAGAGGCAGGGAGTGCAGGGCCTGGCAGACAGATATGTAGCCCAGGTGGCTCAGTGCAGGTAATCATACATGTCATGGTGGCGTATGGTACCATCTGAGTGACAAAGCCAGGGTCAGCATCCAGGAAGTGGGTCCATGGGTGGCCAGCCAGTGCCACCTGTATCAGTTTTTTTCACCTGTCTTTCTTTTTTTTTACACTTTTGATGCCTTCCATAATGTTGTTTTTTTATCTTTAAATATTTTATTTTATTTCTGTTACAGATGTTTCTCCTTTTTTCCCCATTGACACCCTCCTCCCCATCCCCCCCATACCCGACTTTGTTGTCCATGTCCATTGGTTATGCGTACATGCATGTAAGTTCTGTGGTTTATCTCTTCCTCCCCCCCCACCCCTTCTTCTGAGGGTTGTCAGTCTGTACCCTACTTCCACGTCTCTGGGTCTACCCTATTCCTCAGACTATTATGTTCATTATATTCCACAAATAAATGAGATCAAATTTCTGCTTGGCTTGTTTCACTTAGGATAATACTTTCCAGTCCCTCCAAGTCGTCTCAAATCACCTGTGTGTTTTTCTCACAAAGTGGGTTTGGGTGCAGGTCCCTCGGAAGCAGGCCTACACCACGACCTAGGCCTGGGGCTGCTGCTGGTTCACTGGTGCAGGATGGCCCTGATGCCAGCAGCCGCCTGCTCTGCTGTGTGCCCTGATTGTCCGTACCCACCCAGACCCAGTCTTGGGCCTGTGCTACCACCAGTGCCAAAGTTAAGTGCATGCAGAGGGGAGACAAACTCCAGCCAGTGTGCATGGGCACGTTAGCTGGGCCAAGGAGTCCCCGGTGAAGACGACTGCGGTCCTTCTCTTTGCTGTCGAACACAGACCCCCAGTACAGGGACATCAGCATCCGTCACCCTGGAGGTCCTGCAGCAGCATGGGCTTGCTGGCTCCTTCTCCTCTCTGCTCGTCTCCGTGTCACAGCTTCTGAAAGGCCGAGAGCGGGCAGGGAAGGCCTAGAGCCCTGCCTCCAGCAGAACCCCCATTCTCTCTCCCTCCTCCCATTCATATATTTGACCCCCTTTACCCTTTACTGCCCCCACCCCCTCCCTCTACATTTATTGTCATGTAGTTTATTTTTTCACATGTAATCTGTGAGATAAAACAGTTTATTAGTTTATGGTATGATCTATTCTGCTTACTGTTTTGATTATCCAGAAAGATTCTGAGTAATTCTTTAAGTGATTTATTCAATAGAAGGAGTCAGCTAGGTTAAATAATGATTCTGCTCCAGTGACACATTCTCTGTAAGAATATTTGAAAGCACATGTTTTATTATTTTTCACAAGATTTTCAAATCTCCATTCAGCTGTATGCCAGTATTTTTGGGAGAATTAATTTTGTTCTATTCAGAGTGGGATTACCCAGCTTATCTCTTCTTTCTATGGTCTTTATCTTATTCATTTTTTTCTTTTCCATCAGTGTTTGCTTTCACAACCAAAGTTCTGGGCCATTCAGACATCTGCCTTGATCCTGCGGACAAAACTTGAGAGAGGAAGCACACGCCGCGTGGAACGGGCAATGAGGCAGACGCAGGTAGGAATTCATGTGGCAGTTTCTGTTTTTCTCCCAGTTCCTCGTCACTGTCAACAAGCATACACATATGTTACAAACCTAAAAGGCTGAGGTGGCTTTCCTTTTGCTTAGACACTTTGCTGTTATTTGTAGCGTGGGTTTCAGAGTTGGACTGCTTGGCTTCAAAGCCCAGCTCTGTGACCACAGTGTTGACCACAGCACTTCTGACACCACATGTGTCTTACACACCATGACTCTCTGCTGCCCTGTGTGCATCAGCCGGGTGCCTTCAGTGTAGCTGAGCTCTGACACTGGAGTTTGTACAGACCCGCTGGTCAAGAGCTCGGTCCCACTAGTCTGGGTACTCTACACAGGAGCTTCTGTGCTTATAGAGTTTGGGGTGTGACACCTGCCCAATACTTGGGTGCATTTACCAACCTGGAAGCTCTCTGAACCCATCTGTTTTAGAGGTCCCATTATATAGACATGATTGATTAGATCTTTGGCCATTGGTGATTAACTCAACCCCTATACCCTCTTCCCTCCCCAGAGGTTGGGGGTGGGCTGAAAGTTGCAACTCTAATATTGGTTCCTCTGACAGTCAACCCCCAGCCTCTAAGAGTCACCTCATCCCATAAACTCTGGTGTGGTGAAAGGGGCTTATTTGGCCCTAGCCGGTTTGGCTCAGCGGTTAGAGTGTCGGCCTGTGGTCCTGAGAGACCCGGGTTCGGTTCCCACTAAGGGCATGTACCTCGGTTGCAGTTTGTCCCCGGCCCTGGTCGGTTGTGCGGGTGGCAGCCACTCGATGTGTTCCTTTCACGTCGATGTTTCTCTCTCTCTCTCTCTGTTCCTCTCTCTCCCTCCCACTCTACCTGAACAAAAAATGGAAAAATGTCCTCGGGTGAGGATAAAAAAAAGGGGGCTTATTTGAAGCACAACATAAAACAGGTGGTTAGCCCGGCCAGTGTGGCTCAGTGGTTGAGCGTCAACCCACGCACCAAGAAGTCGCCAGTTCCATTCCCAGTCAAGGCACATGCCCAGGTTGTGAGCCTGATCCCCAGTGGGGGGCATGCAGGAGGTGGCCAATTGATGTTCTCTCTCATCGATGTTTCTATCTCTCCCTCCCTCCCTTTCTCTCTAAAAATCAATAAAGAAAAAAAATTTAAAAAAAAAAAGGTGGTTGTAGTAATACCAACAGTACAGGTATTTGCTGAGCATTACAGAGACAGTATCAGAGGTAAGTGAAAAGACAGGCAACTGCACGGGGCAGGTCGTATACGGACATGAAGTCCATTCTAGCACAGAAACATTCACTAATGAGCTGACCACATGTAAAATTAATCTTCATTCAGGCATCATTCTCCATTTAATACTAATGTTTATTCCTGCCCCGTGACTTGGTAGCAGACAAGTGTCTTTCACAGACTTTCTGATAAACTACACATGATACAGATTGCCAAGAAAAATTTTAAATCTTGCAAAAGATGTAGGATTTCACACTGTCAATGAAATGATATTTTAAGATTTTTATTTTTAAACAATTCCAAACCTACATAAAATGTATAAGAATGGGGTGAAGAGCTCCCGTGTACCCGTCACCAGGAGGCTCCTTTCAGGTTCTGCAGCAGTCCTGGTGACGTCTTCTGTAGGCAGAGGCCCAAGCATGGCATGGAGCCGTCATGTCCTGGCAGTCTCCTCAGTCCGCAAGGGCTCCTCCACCTTCTCTACCTTTGTGGGGGTGATGTTTTTGGTTCTTTTGGAGACTGTCCTTCAGTTCGGGGTTGTCTGTTTCCTTGTGATTAGATTCAGCCCATACGGTTTTGACAGTAATGTGACAGAAATGTTGTCTTCCTTTCCTGCACCTCCTTCAGGTGGCACACCGTATGGTTTGTCCCATCCCTGGGGATGCTGTTTGATCCCTTGAGAGTAAGGTTATGTCTATGGGTTTCTCTCCGGTGTCTAGTTACTCTTTTCCCTTTGTAATTAACAAGAACTTTGGGGGAGTCACTTTGAGATTATCCTGTTTGTCATCCAACTTTTACCCATTAGTTTGAGCACTTATGATGTTTCTTGCCTGAGGAAGTTATTACCATGATGTTTGCCAAGTGGTAATTGTCCAATTATTTAATGACATATTCATTGATATTGTGTTGTAGGGAAGAGCTTTTTCTTCTTATTTATTCCTCCACCTATTTATTTATTAGAGTATGGACTCATGAATTTCTATTTTAGTCAATGAGATGTATTCTTACACTATCATTACTTATTTACTTTACTCTTTTTGTTTTGACAGCATTTCAGCTCATGTGAATAAGATAAGCTTAAGAATAGAGCATATTATTTGTTCCATCTTGAACCTAAAGCCACAGACAGGCGGCTGTGGTGAGCGCAGAAGCGGTCCTCCCAGTGACCCACCCTGCCTCCCTTCTGTTAGTGCCCGAGCCACCCGGAGGGTCCGGAGGTGTCCTCCGCGCTCCTCTGCAGGCAGCAGGGGCCGTGTGACTTCGTTCAGATAGTGGAATCTTCGACTCTAAGGAGCTTATTTTCTAAAGGCAAGATTATTTCTCTCGGAATCATTTCGTTTTCAGACCCCACCCTCTCAGTCAAACACTATGCAATTACCACGTCCATTTGCTTTCCTCTTGCACAGAGTTTGAATCAGGAAACATTTTATTGAGGGCTTAGTATGTACTGCATAGTTTGTTTCATATTCTTGTAATCATTGTACTTCTCTTTACTAACTACCATCTTTAGGCCCCTTTATATTATTGTCACAGCTTGTTTTCTCCGGAATAGTGAGACAGAGCCAGAGGTGCCAGCTTTATTAGGGTTCAGTACCCACCTGTTGAGAATTGAGAGGAAGCAGTCACACTGAGGAACAGGCCCGAAACAGCCCAGGGCATTTCCCACCTAAGTGTCCCTTTTACCCTCATCTTTCCCCCTCTCCCCCCATGAAGGTGAAACCTGGGGCCAAGAGCTCTCTGTAGCTGAGGGGACTCCAACAGCTGCCAGCCTACAGCAGGCTGCAGACCCCATGCCCCACATGTGGGCCTGATTCAAAGTAAAGAAGGGAGGTGAAGATGTAGTTTCATCAGCATCTTAAATGATTCATGATGAATTGCCCCTATTGCCTTGAATTCTGTTTATTAAAAATTTACTTCACAATAAAGCAGCAAAATGTTGAAATGACCAAAGTGTTAAAATGATCAACTCTGTGTATTTTATTTTTAAGTGCATAATTTATTTATTTTTTTTAATCCTCACCCGAGGACACTTTTCCATTTTAGTTCAGATAGAGCGGAAGGGAGGGGGAGAGAGAGAGAGAGAAACATCGATGTGAGAGAGACACATCAACTGGCTGCCTCCTGCACGACCAGGCCAGGGCTGGGACAAACTGCAACCAAGGTACGTGCCCTTGATTGGAATCGAACCCGTGACTCATTGGTCCGGGGGCCGATGCTCTAACCTCTGAGCCAAACTAGCCAGGGCAAGTGTATGACTTCTTGTTCAAGGAAACCACATAATATCTCTTTGGGTGGGGGGCAGTTTAAAATTTTGGTCTTCTGAATTCAGATTATTAATAAAGGGGATTTTGACTTAGAAATAATTTGCTTTTTATTCATCTCTTTCATTAACTTTGGCATATAAAATGATCAAGCCAACATTCATGTTTCTTTTGTAGCAGCAATTAAACTTAAAAAAGTATAGAAGAAAATTTGTTCACAGGTGTATGATAGAAACCTGCATCATTCTGTGAATTGTGCAGGTTATGTTTGTAGGTACCAAGCAGCAAGGAGGTGCTTTGATGGCAAGTGAACCTAACGCAGGAGCCGAAGCACTAGGCGCAGCACTTGGCCCGTCTGGCCTTTCTGAGGCTGCCGGCTCCCCGTCTTGCCGGCCCCGTGCGCTGTTGAGACTTGTACGCCTCGACTTGTACGGCAGCATGAGGCGTTGTTATTTCTGTCTCTACAGGGTATCCCGAAGAAAATCTTTTCACTCTCCAACCCAGAATTTTTGGAAATTAGCCAGATCATGTGACAAGATGAATGTGAAATTTATCTAATTTTCTATCATTGTTGAGGCATTTACCTCATAATGGAAACTTTTGCCAATTCCTCTGATTCAGAGTTTGATATTACTGTTTGTTGAAGTTACTACATCCCTGAAGAATAAGAGGAAAATGATTCTAAAAATACGTGTATATGTAAAACAAGTGTTCAAAAACTTTCCGTTTTAATTTCTGTGAAAATGTGTTCCCTTTCTTAGCTGTATAAAGTGATACAATGATAAATTGTTAAAGTGGAAAGAAAAATAAGCTAGAAGGAGCTCTTAGGAAAAGCTTAACCTTGTCATATTATTAGCTGGGGAAATGTAGGTGTGATGAGGTCAGGTGACTGGCCTCAGGTTGCCTCGCTGGTTAATGACATGGTCTGGACTATAACTTTTTTTTTTTTTTTTTAATTTCTTTTTTTTTTTTTTTTTTTTTTTTATGAATTTTTATTTATTTTTTGTTACAGATATTTTACCTTTTTACCCCATTGGCACCCCCCACCCCACCCCCTCCACCCTGTCCCCGGCTTAGTTGTCCATGTCCATTGGTCATGCATACATGCATATAAGTTCTGTGGTTTATCTCTTCCCACCCCCCCACCCCCCATCCCCTCTTCTGAGGGATGTCAGTCTGTGCCCTACTTCCATGTGTCTGGGTCTACTGTATTCCTCAGACTGTTATGTTCATTATATTCCGTATATAAGTGAGATCATGTGGTATTTGTCTTTTTCTGCTTGGCTTCTTTCACTTAGGATAATACTTTCCAGGTCCCTCCATGTCGTCTCAAAGGATAAGAGATCTTTCTTTCTTACCGCTGCATAGTACTCCATTGTGTATATGTACCACAGCTTTTTGATCCATTCGTCTACTGGTGGACACTTGGGCTGTTTCCAGATCTTAGCTATTGTAAATAGTGCTGCTATGAACATGGGGGTACATATATTCTTCCTGATTGGTGTTTCAGGCTTCT